AGAACGCTAACCTTGCTTGAGGCGACTTCTGGCGTGGAGGGTGGGGAGGCAGTTATTGCTTGGAGGGAGAGTCCCCCTCCCTACAGGAAGCCACGACCACATGTCACGGGAAGGAAAATGGCCGCGGATCCTGTTCATCACCCGATCCGGCGTTCGTGAACGGAAGCAAAATTTTGTGAACGGAGCTGTTCGTGACCCGAATTGGTCGTGAACAGAAGCGTTCATGACCCGAGGTACCACTGTACTTGCCATTTTAAGGAGGCAAACACATAATTGTAATGAGAGATTTAATACACATTAGAAAAGCCTTTCCTGAATCTAAACAAAAACAGAAAACTTTGGCTCCCCCCATGTGCATAACATGGCCCCTCCTACTTTGCATCAGTACCCTACTCACTATCACCTATACAAGCTAGTGTAGAATTCAGGACAAGAAATTTGATCTTTATAGGAATTTCATTCTACTTCTCTTATAATGTCAGTGAAACACAAATAATATATTTTTATCTCTTAATTTGATTCATTCAACCTTTGCTGTTCACTGCTAGGTTGTCTGTACATTAGTTTCTCCTGAATATTCAGCACACTTCAAGCCTAATGCAGTACATTCCTTTGAATGCACAACAACTTTCATAACTTTTATTGTTCTTTGTGGTTTACAAGTGCAGTGCATGGACATAGATAGCCATAAAAGTTTAATAGAGCTGGCTGAGAGAGGATGACTGTATATTTTGATGGAAATAAATCAGAGGAGCTATTTTGTACAAATGTAATAGGCTTGTGTGATGCAGTGTGCTAAAATGAAGTAAATCAGCAAAATTCAAAGACCTCAGCTTATAGTGCAACAAATGAGAATTTATTATGTAGGATTCAGTCACCTTTATTAAGGTATTGCTTTCATTTTGAATATATTACATTTGCCAAGTATTCAAACCACAATATTAGTGGTGCTGAAAAAATGTAGTCTTGTCTTGGACAGACTAGCTACTGACACTTGGAGTGGTCTTTTTGTAAATATTTAGGTAACTTGTTTGAAAGTTGAAGGGTTGTTTGGCTGTAGTTAGAATTGTGTTACGGTTTTGTGTTGCTTTTTTAGTATTTTATCTCCTTTTTACCTTTGTGTTGTTTGTATGGAACCTTACCTAATTTTGGCACCTTTAATAAAGTTGATTTTTGTTTAGATCCTGGAATTGACCAATTGCCTTCTAGCAACTGCTTCAGATTGGCTGAGCTACAGACTCCCTAAGTTTTTGTTTGGTTTCCCTTTCTGTAGTTAGACCCCTTCAATCGTCTCCTGGCTCCCTAGAGATCTGATGGGAAGTGAGAAACTGGTTTATAGCAAAGGGGTGGTTGCAGAGGGGACCTCATTTTCCAGTTGCTATTCATCCCCAGGCATGGGTCACCTCAGAATTGAAGTCTCTCAGAGGGAGAGGCTGGTTCGACCCTGAGGACACCTTCCTTATTTCATATGGCCATAGTATTAAGCCATTAAATTGCACTGCTGGGACTTTAAGAATATTCAATTATTTCTTCCCAATTCATAAATGACATCACAGCACCTTGGCTGTCCTGTTCTTGCCTTGGAGCGATCCAAGATAACTCATGGGCTGCTTTTTGTGTTGCAGTCAATTTGTGACTTCTCAGCATATGAATGCATTTTACCCTCCTTGAACCAGTATTCCTAAAAGTGACCTGGGGATATGTTTATTCATTTCTCACTTATAAAAAATAAAATGCAAATGTTGGGGTACGTGAAAGCAAATTACTTAAAAATAATATTCTGCTGCTAAACTGAAAAAGTGACATAAACAAAGCTGCAAGAGCATCATTGTTATGTTATTGCCCATTTATAGCTCAAAGTAAAACTGCTCCCTGTGTGCAAACCAGAATTATGCAGAATGTCAATTAAATCAACTGTAATCTCCCAGATACATTTTTTATTGCTGGATTCATTAGAAAGGCTCTTAAGGTAATGAATAGTCGTCACTTTTACCAAGGACTGCTGATTCCTTTATAAATGATGACCACTAAAAATGCAGAAGAGACATTTTAAAATCTGGCTATATTTACACTCTGCCTTTATACTTGAAGTGATGTAGAATTTAGTATGACCTGACATATTATGAAGATCAGCACAGAGAACATCACCTCTATATTTTAGGTATACATTTGAGAAGACTTGTTTTAAAGGATACATAATAAAGTAATACAAAAAGCACTAAATCAGGATTGTTTTTGTCAAATTCCAAAAATCTGTTCTTATAATGTATTTTGTTTTCTTTCTTATAGCAAGTCCACATGCAACACCATCGACTCTTCATTTTCCAACATCACCCATTATTCAACAGCCTGGGCCATACTTCTCACACCCAGCAATTCGCTATCATCCTCAGGAGACTCTGAAAGAGTTTGTCCAACTTGTCTGCCCCGACGCTGGTCAGCAGGCTGGACAGGTGGGGTTCCTAAATGTAAGGAAGCTGTTTCTACTTTTTTTCAGAAGTTTTGTTTCTATGACAGATAACCATGGAATGATGTGAACAGATTTGTACACATAAGAAAAACACTCTGTTTTAGGGGGCATAAACCAGCCCAAGTTAAATATGTTTCATTCATGTTGATTATGATTGGAATTAACATAATTTAAGTTGTCCTTATTTGGCTACCTTGGGCCCATAATTTATACTTCTACATGCTACAATATAATCAACTTTTGCCAGTTATGATATGTGCTACAGTCTCATGTAAGTGATTAGTGCAACGGTAATTTTCCAGCACAATCATATGTCATATATAATGTTGTGAGTCACCTTGCAAGGATATTTTTAAGACCCACCAGATAGAATTTGTATAAAGTTGGGTCAAGTAAGAATGCATTAAAGACAATATTAGTGGTAATTCCACTATAGTCCACAATGCCTAAGATTAGGTACTAACATTTTATAATGGGATCAAAGCTGATAAACAAACTACTGGTTCATATTGACCTACATGCCCACTAGACAGTGTCACAAAAGTATTTCATACAAGTCTACCATGTGTACTGTCACAAATAACGTCTAGTTATCCTACTCTGAATGAGCTCCCATGGCTACATTGTGAAGGAGGCACACACAGCAAAGTATAAAAGCATTCTGAGGTCTGTGTAAGCCTTGAAAACCCAAAACTTACTATTATTCCTTCCCGGGTAAATTTTACTAGTTATTTGGAAAGTGGAAAACTTGGCAGTTGACTTGTCAAATATTGGTTGCATATTATCAAATACATCTTAAATACACAAAACATTATTTTATTAATAGATTAACAACAGACCAAACTATACTAGTTATAAAAATTGCTGTCAGGATCTAGAAAATTTCAGAAAAACTACCAAAAGGTTTATAAAATGCTCTGGCCTTATTCTGACCTTATTCTGACCATACTACTATGCTGCTGATTAGCTTCAGCAGTGAACTCAGTGGTGTTCTTCCTCCTCCTGTGCCATGCAGGAGAAATCAGGAGTATTCACCATCAATTCTGATGACCACAGTTTAGCATTGCTTTCAGCCTGAAGAAATTATAGTTAGTTTCATCTATCACTGAATTAAATCAGTGGTTAATATTAATTGTGGTTTATGAACTTAGTTTACTTTAATAAACATAGATAAATTTAAACATGTTCTAGGACAGGACAGGCAACATTTTTGGTTCCAAGGTCTCTATACATTGTGGGCTGGAGATGACCATCTCCACAACTACCCACATATGTTCTCTATTGCCTCCCTGATTTGCAACACACAAAGATGTATGGGAAACATGGTATTACTATAGCTACAATCACAGTGGGTAGTCTGCGTGTATGTGAATATCTCTGCTCACACATTTCTTCTTCTCCAGCCCAGCCAGGCAGCTGATTGGTGTGCTGTTCAAAGTTAAATCATTCTAGAAAGACAGCACAAAGAATGATTCCTATTAATATTCTCACTGAGTCTGCATGATCCAGTTCCAGAACATTTGAGGACATGAATTGCAGTGGCAGAAGCCCCAGAGAGGGAATTGTGGAACCAATACACTACATAGTATTTGAGCCCATACCCAGTTTAGCAGTTCAGTGGAATTTTAATTACAGTTAAATGAAGGAATGCAAAAACTGTCAGTTCTCCGCTTGGTGATCACATCAAGGGGGAAAAAGTACATGAGAAAAAGCTCTTTCTTTCTTAATAGTAATTTTAATTACAGTTGTAATTACCAAATTACAATTACAAAAATAAAAACTAATACAAACTAAAAAAAGAAAAGAAAAAAGTGCAGAAAAAAAAAAGAAAAAAAAGAAAAATAAGAATATAGTAAAGAAAAGGAAAAGAAAAGAAATATATAAAGAAATGACTTCCCCCTTTATCACAACAAGTATAAACAAC